TATAGAATTGGGAGTCCAGAAATATACTCTTAACATTTAAGGTCAATTGATTTTCAACAAAAGAGCCAGGGCAATTCCATGGGTAAAGAATAATCTTTGCAAAAATAATGCTGGAACAATTTTCACACACAAAAGAATGAAGTTGGATCCCTACCTCAACCATACACAAAAATTATCTCAAGCCATACAAAAAAATTAACTCAAAAAATAGGTCTAAATGTAAAAACAAAATAGAATTATAATACTCTTAGAAGAAAACATATGAGTAAATCTTTATTATCTTGGGTTGTCAATGATTTCTTAAATATGACACCAAAGGCACAAGGAGTAAAAGAAAATGATAAGTTGGATTTCATTAAAATTAAAAATTTTTGGCTGGGCATGGTAGCTCGCATCTGTAATCCTAGCACTACGAGAGGCTGAGGTGGGAGGATCACTTGAGATTAGGAATTTGAGACCAGCCTGAGCAAGAGCAGGACCCCACCTCTACAAAAAGTAGAAAAATTAGCCGGGTGTGGTGGTGTGAATCAAAACCACAATGAGATACTATTTCACACCCACTAGAATAGCAATTATTTAAAAATATAACAATATTGACAATGATGTAGAGAAATGAGAATGCTTGTACGTTATTGGCAGAAATATAAAATGGTACAGCCACTTTGGAAAACAGTTTAGAAGTTTCTCAAAACATTCAACATAGAGTTACATGACCCAGTAATTTCACTCCTAGGCATAGACTCAAGAGAAATGAAAATATATGTCCACAAAAGATTTATATATGAATGATCATAGAGGCATTATTCATAATAGCTAAAAAATATAAACAACTCAAATGCCCATAACCGATGAATGAATGAATGAAATGTGTTATATCCATATAATGGAATATTATTTGGCAATAAAAGAAATGAAATACTGAGACATGTTACAATATGGATGAAACTCAGAAGTATTAAACTAAATGAAAGAAGTCAGTCACAAAAGACCACATATTGTATGATTCCATTTATATGAAATGTCCAGAATAGGCAAATCCATACAGAGAGTGGAATAGAAGCTGCCTACTGGGGGTGACTGCTAAGGGGTAAAGGCTTCTTTGGGGATGATGAAAATTTTCTAGAATTACATTTTGGTGATGGCTATACAACTCTGTGAATACATTAAAATCCATTGAATTGTACATTTTAAATGGCTGACCTTTATGGTGTGTAAACTATATCTCATAAAACTGTTAAAAGTCAACATAAATGGAAGAAGAGCAATGACATTCACATAAAAAGAAACTAAATTATCAATGTTTCCTTTTAGAAATTTTTAGTAAGTATAGTCAATTAAAATTTGATTTGTTTTTAAAGTCTACACTAAAATGACTCACCAAAGCCAGAAGCAAGATATCCCGCTGCTATTACTGAAAATGGCTAACTCTGGGTGCACTAGTAATATCTGAGAAAAGGAAACACAGGGGTCTCAGCAGGGCTCCCTTCTAAGGTCACATGATTTCTAAAGAAGTAACCACTAGGTCTGAAGTCATCAGGGTGTTAACGGCGAGGATGGTTGTTTCAACACCAAACATCCTGACAAAACATATGACCATAGGCGTTGTAACAGAGACCACATCCTCAGCTCAGAAAAAGAGCTGCAAACATTCCTAATAGAAAGAATACTGAGTACTGTTCCTCCGGGGACTGAAGCTCATTCTTCTCAGAGTGGGACATTCCCCAACACTGGAATAAAATAGCATGTCTGACTCCCATGTTTCTTCTCAGCTAAATACAGCAAGAAGGAAGAAAGGATAAGAGGGGGAAGGAGGGAGAGACTCAGAGATCACTTCAGTATCTAAAGCTGTAAACTAGGCAGTCAGAGGGTTGGAAAGGGCCAGCAGCCCCTGCCCACCAGCCCATGTCCCGACCCTCGCCACAGACTCGAGGCAGGAGCACAATAAACCATTCTCCACAATGTGGGGAAGGAAAATCGGGGCAGGAGCTTACAGGTAAACAAGTCTCCCTCCTGTCCTCCACTTGCACATGGCCTATTAATTCTTATATGACCCAAGGAGACAGCTACAAAGAAATGTGATTGGTGACCAATTTTTAGGACATTTTGTAAAGCTCAAATTGAAGTTTCCAAAGAGCTTCCAGTCATGGATATTGCAGATGGTATTGTTGATGAGGAAAGAGTCTTTCAAATCTCACCTGAGACATTTTCCCATCTCCTCCGTGTGGCCTGCGCTGATGACAACGAGGTCCCCTTGCCTCCACCCACCCAGGAGAATTCCTTTGCTCTCCCCCTTCTCAGCTCTAGCAAAGGAAATCATGCCCGCTGGCAATGAGCCATCTTTCACTGTTCTCATTTACTTGTGTGTAGTTTCCTAATGCTAAAACTTTGAAATTTGAAAGAAAAAAAGACCAAAAGGAAACCACATCCTTTTGAGTCTCAGTATATAAGTAGGGGCAGTCAAGAACTGAAAACAGGTTTTCACATTGATTGATGTGGGGACACCAGCCACAATGAGGAACCCCTGTGCATTTCTGGCATCCTCTCTCTCGGTTGTCATTTTTCTCCTGCTAATTCCTGAAGGTAAGACTGATTCTTGTCATTTCCACTATTACCATGAAGCAAAACGAAGCAGACTTTCAAGGACCATTTGGTAATATTACCTTCTTACAGTGAAAGAAGTTTTATTTTCCCCAAGCCTTAAAATGTTTAGCATTCTCTCTTGGATTCTAAATATTTCCTTATTTTAGAAGGAAAAAGATCCTTTTTTCATCTTATAATTTCTTTACAAAAGATAACAGAATCACCAATGCTTATTGCTGCCAATTTGTAGCTTGAAATAGCCAAAAAGTACAGTAGAAAAAGGAGTAAACAAGTAAATAAAACACTCTTGAGTTAGTAAAACAAATAGTACCTTTTAGGAAAATAATAGTGGTGCCTTCATCGGTTCAGCCTTTCTTGCTGCAGAAAATGAATAGACAGTTTTGGGGGGTTTTTTGCTGTTTTTTTAATATATATCTTTTTCTTTCCAGCTTTAATGAGATATAATTGACAAATCAAAGTTGAATATATTATGGTATTTAACATGATGTTTTAATATATATATACATTATGAAATAATTATCTCAAATTAAAATAAATCTTTGATTTAAATTTCGTTTCTTACTTTATCTATAGTTTTAAAGACAGTTAAAACAAATCTGATCTAGACACCAAAAGTGAAACAGGACTGAGTTAAATTTTTATAATTATCTCTCTGGGCTTGAGTCTCCTTAGGAACACCTTAGGACACTGGGCGATCCCCTACATCCACTCTGGGAGTGTTATAGTATTTTTTATTAAGCTACTTCTTTGGTCTACTAAATGGCAACCAGTACCTCTGCTTTTGTGTGAGTTCCATGTGCATGGGTTGAAATGCTGTAAAATTCCTGGCATTATCGCTGGAAGGAGAATAGCCCCTGGGTAGCTCTGAATTTTTCTTGAAGAACCTACTAGGGAGTGAGAACTACTCAGGACCTGGGACAACGTGGAGCCAGCCACGGTTTCTCCCCAGGGTCCATCAGCTTTTGGAGGTGGGAGTGGTGGGCAGGGGCTTAGGTCAGAGGTCCCCAACCGTTTTGGCACCAGGGACCGTTTTCATGGAAGACAATTTTTCCACAGACAGGGGTTGGG